AAACCCTACGCCCCAAACCCCAAGCCCATGACCTCAACCCTGAACCAAACCCCTAAACCCCAACCCCTAAACCCATGACCTCAAGCCTAAACCCCAAGCCCCTAAACACCTAAACCCTAAACCCTGGGAGTTAGGATTAGGGGGACGCTGAAAAGATATAGACCCTCTCAATAAGGTCCCCTTCAAAAGAGCTACAAATAGGTTCAGAAGGGTCCCCTTTTAAGGGGTCTCCCTAATGCTACCTAGGAAACCCCAAACCCTCAACCCTAGAGCCTCGCCGGATTCTTCAATCTTTGTCTTCGCAAAAACAGCCTGTTGGAGCATCTGGCAGGGCAGTATAGGGGCCTTAATGATTAGCATAGGGTTTTGGGGGTTCCTTGTTAAAATATTATAGTATAGTATATACCCCCAAACCCTACTTCAAATATTCAGGTCCCTATATTAGATGCTTGAACTTGCTGCAGGTGTCCATGCTGCTGTGGGGCCTTACTCTGCGCCTGCCATGCTTAAAGGCAGTGCCTAAAGGGCCTCACACATCTCACAGGTTTTGCACTACTACGTACATAGGTAAATTATTACAGCACATTGTCAGCTGCTGAGTGTGTGTCTTAAACTTTGCCGGCTAACTAGTACCCTAGACCCTAAACCCTAACTGGTACTCTGCACCCTAAACCCTAAAGGTGTTTGCCGCACAGGGCTTCGATTGTGCAGCGCCCAAAGAAAGCGCGCATATGACTTCGGTTTCGGGTTTAGAGCATATTCTACTATATAATTACAGCAAAGGTAGTATACAGATGTATAGGGCCTTTTAATGACTAGCATAGGGTTTCGGGTTTAGGGTTCAGGGGAGTTCTAGGATTGTCGATCAAGCTTCGCAGAAAGCACCGTCAGACTTGCCCCCGATTTACGCATACAGGATCATTTGATTTAGGTCCATGAGTTTCTAGTTCAGCCTCAGGGCCCGATCGAGGATTATTTTTGGTTTAGGGTTTGGGTAGGGGTACCGATACGATTCAATGATAGGATTGCCGTATTCCGCATTTCGGGAGATACGGTTCTGATACGATTCGGATACGATTTCGATACGGGGCGCGATACGCTCTCGTATGGCATTGGAACCTGTATATTGAAACCTGTACTGGGCCCCGTATTGGAACCTCTATTCGAACTCGTATTAGAACCCCTTTCCAAAACGTATCCAAACCCTATCGGTTCCTCTATCTGAACCGTATCGATGCCATAGCCCGATAGACCGATCCTATCCTCAGATCGTATCCAAATCGTATTGGAACCCTATCTGGTAATTATCACGGGTGGCCACCCTGAGCCTAACTAGAAACTCTTGGATTTAGATGCGAGCTGCTAAGCACGGATCCAAGTGGCGATGAACAGGTCTCCGGCCTGCCGAATTCTTAACGAGGTTTTACTCCGAAAAGCTGAAGCAGCCTAGGAAATTCCTGAGGATGCTGGTGGAATCTCCAACCCTTAGGGTCCAAGTAGTCCTTATTTAATTATGGTCTTTGGTACGACCCTTAGGGCAACCCATACCCGGTGGGCGTAGTTGGGTTTAAGCAAAGCTTAGGCCAGACGAACGTTATTACGCTGAAGTCCAGTACCCTGGAGCCTAAACAACACCATTTTTTGCTTGACTTCAAGATTTGACCTCGGTATAAAAGTGGCCTTGAGAATCAGACAGGCATCCTGAGGTACGTTATCCTTGTCCTAAACCCTAACCCCTAAACCCCTAAAAAGGGAACCCAAGGCCTGCAAATCATGGAGTCTCCCGACCCCCGCCATCTTGGACAGCGCCATCTCCGGAGCCCCGCCAAAACTGGGCCGCCGACGAGGCTGGGCGTTTCCGGATCGCTGGATGCCTCCATTTTGGCGTCCTCCTGGCTGTTGCTTTAAGTGATACTCTGCCAAATGAAGGCTCAGGCTTTAGAGGATTTGGGGTGTTTAGGGTTTAGAGGGTTTAGGGTGGAGGGTGATTCAATTTACGTGAGTCCAACAAAACCACGAAGTAGGGTTGCTTCGCCGCGCGTGCATACCCTCCATATTTATCTTCAGTAGTTGTTGATGCACGATTCTACCCCCTAGACTCGAACGTCTGATCCCCAAAAACAGTAGTCTGAAACTCTGAAACCACAAACCCTAAAACGAACCAACTTCATCCCTATTTACACTTCTGAAATTCCTATGCCATTAAAGCATCGAATATCTCAACCTCCCAGATGCGAAACAGCTTTTCGTGCAGGCTTCCAGATTTTTTTTGATATTTTTGGGTCTTCTCAAATTTTTAAGACGTGAATCAAAACGTGTGGATTCGACAACGCCTTGGCGCTTGGAGCTTTGGGCTTGGGGCTCGGGGTAAAAGAGGGGGCAGGAGTAAGTGGCTTTAGACCCTGGCTCTGTAAGCCGCTTTCGTGAAGGTCCAGAACTGCAGGCGTTCAGCTTCAATGCTGGCTATTCTGGAATATGTATCTCTCTATGTATACACATATGTATGTATATATATATATGTAGATGCACATATGAACATATATATATATATGCATACAAATACCAATCTATGTGTATATATATATATCTGTATATAATATGTACAAAACCTCTTAGAAGAGTTAACAACTGTATCTGTCAATCCATTATTATAAGGTTACCTAGTATTCAGGAGCTTTGACTTGCCAAGAGTACCCATGGATGATGGTCTTTCTTCTGTGCATCGTGCGCTCGCGGTGTAAATCTGATACTATAGGTCCCGTCCGAGCAGCCTGCCTCGACTTGCAAGAGGGGGAGCCCAGGGTCTAGAGTCTAGAGGTTAGTGGACAAGCTAGGGCCTCAGGGAGTGTGGGGCGGTTTCAGGACCTTCGTGGCCAAAACTTACATAAGGGTTTTCAGGGCTAATGAACATTGATTCCTTAGTCGGGGTTCAGGCAAGAATAGTCCGATACTGGGACGTATGCCAGCTAGTAGGATACCTGCCTTGCGGATTGGGCAAGACACACTCAATTTTCAACGTGACAGATTGAACCTTCGGCGCACCCTCCCTCGCTCCCCTCCCCCGCCAAGTATGGCCACAAGCGGCCGTCCTCCAACTTTTCTGTCAGAATCTTCCACTCGGCGGCAATCGGCAGGGTTTCGGGCGTCGGGAAGGGACCAGTCTCCAGACAATCTAAAACCCTAAATTTCAATATCAGGGTATAAGTCAGTCCATTCGTCAACCTGTAGTCTAAAGGCTTTCTTGTCGTAAACTCCGTGGATGCTTCAACTGCACAGTCGTCGTCCTTAGCTCGATAAACCCTAAACCCTAAACCCCTAAATCCCAAACACTTACTTTTGAAAGTGCCTATAATTCGGTCCCAGAGCTTGGGCACGCCTGATGGCACACGCATTACCCAAAATACGGAATATGCCATAATTCCCATAGTTTAGGGTCCTGAAGGTAATGCAGGACTCATATCATCAACAGTACTTCTCCCTGAATGACTCCCCTGTGACACAGCATGCTTTCACCGCTTCAGGCACGAGCAATGTCGCACATGGTGCTTTACCTGGCGATTCAAGCACTTATAAGTACAGTTGCTTTATCTAAAGATCTGCTTAAGTATAGTTGGTTCATTTGTCAACCTAGGGCTAGTTATTAAGATTAGCTACATGTCTATGGGCATGCCATTGACCGGATCCCATCCTTCACACTCGTGGTAGGTTCCGAACCCGTCGCCTTTCACGCAGTAGGTGTAGGCACAGTAGGCCATATCACAAGCCGCACTGCCCATAGCACATGTCCAGGCTGCCATGAACATCGCATCCTCATAGCTCGGACGGCTCCCCGGGAAGCCCGGCAGTGCAGTTAGCCAGTGTTTCAGCATGTCTCTCATCGTCATGTTGCCCTTCGCCCCTCTCTGCACCTAGGCTGTTAGTACCCCACCGGGAAAAGTCAATGATTATTATAGACGAAGCCTGGCAACAAAGAAACAAAACCGCATGCCACTGAACAACCTTGGCACAAGAGCATCGGAATTGCACAGCTCTTCACCTTTCAAATACATTCCGTTAAAATCGTGCTGCAGTGCTCGGATTTCATCGGAGAGCCACCCGTTGTAGTAGCAGTAGTACTGGTCCCAAGAGGCAACTTTGTAATGAACCAGTGCAACATCGGGAATTTCGACGCTTTTGGCGAAGATCATGTAATCCTGGTTGTAAATAGCATCAGCACACGTCTTTTCCACATTGAGCTCGCACCAGCCGAAGGTTGCATTGTGTTCTTCTGTAGCTTCGCGCTGGAAGCTGCTCAAAGGCACGTCCAGCATCTCGGAATCCTCGAGCAAGCTATGGTTGCCACAATCATCTCTTACCACATAGGACTGGTTGGGCGCACGCTCGTCTGAAGGGGTGCCGCAAAGGAAACAAAGTCGCCCGTTTGCATCGATGCTTGGCAGTACAGGCGAGTCCTGGTTCATGGTTCTGAGGCCTTGGATCTCTGAAAGGAGCTCTGCAGCTTGCTGATCCTGCCTGGCAAGGGATGTAACTTGAAGACCATGCTGAAGTAGTGTCGTTTGCTGCGACTCGAAGCAATCTGGCTCTGGCTCGGTCGACGCAAGTGCCACAGCACAGAATGCGAGACGAATCATGTATCCGGGCAATAGGGCAAAGGGTTTTCTGCCCAGGGACCACCTACTGATCCTTGAGAAGATGTGCAGACGCACGGACTTTCTCATGAACAGGTCACCTCAACATTTAGGATGTGGCCTTCGGGAGCTCGGTGGCACCCTAGATCAAAACGCTTTCAACCTGAACCCTGCTTTTTGGGTGAACTTGTCCAAGTGTAAACTCCGAGGACACCGGGCCAGACCCCACACTGCGCACTTTGGGATTGCACGGCCCAAATCATACAAAAGGAAAGCCCAGTCCAAGCAAAACAAGCCAGGGTTCAGAAGGACACACCGGTCTCTCTCGACATCGCCCAAATCACCGTTTAAGGTAGACGGCTTTCAGTGTTTGGCAGGCCCTAAGCCCTAAACCCTCAACCCTAAACCGCCGAGGAACGGCAGCAACCACCTCCGGATCGTCGAAGTCAAACATCTCGAGGATAGATGCCTCGCAACAGCAGATGGCGATCTCTGCATTCGGATTCCTGTTGCCTGAACCCTAAACATTCCTAAGAGCCTAAGGGTTTAGAGTTAGGTGACGGTGCGAAAAAGGCAGGGGTGATGTCTATCAGCTAAAGGTCCTTTTTTTTCGGTTTGGGTTGGGGATTTACGAATAAGAGAATAGCGAATATGTCTGGAAATAAGAAGATCTCTTCTAGAGTGGGGTTCAGGGTCTCTGTGATTTTTTGCCATGTCTTCAGGCCGGGGATAGTGCAACACAGCGATGTTGCAATTCTACGATCGCGTATACGTGGGTAAAGGCTCGGTGGTAGAACCTCATAATACTCTTCATTCTAGGAACCATTTGAGGATCATCGGAGAGTCCACCCGAGCCCCTATAAACCCTAAACCCCTATAAATCCTAAAACCTTAAGCCGAAGTCTCAGACTTGGGGCCTGTCGCTGCTACCCAAAACCCGAAACTCTCCGTGCCATCCCGTTCGGGGATGTTCAGAACTTCGGTACTCTACTACTCTGCAGTCTACAAAATATTATACTACAAAGTCATATCAGAAAGCCTATAAACCAATCAATTGTTGAAGTCCCCATATGTAGGGGTTTGACACCGGCTATTGGCCGGGCAATTAATTCCTTGACTGCGCTTCTGGTGTGCCGAACGCGTGGGGTCACGAACCTAGTTAGGGAAAAGTGAACGTATGATTTCCTGAGCCGGGCGATAAACCACAAAAGCAAAAGGTGAAGAACGTAAGTGGCTTCTCCAGATAATAACCCTACATTGGGCTGCCCAGCTTCAGTCGACGGCGGCACTACTCAGACCCACGGGGAAGTCTTGAAACCCTCTCCCCAGGCCTGCTCAGAAACGGCGAAACTTCCGGAGCGGGATGCGGATGCTGAGGATGTCCGTGGAGGAAATGATCGGACATCCTGCAAATTATGGGTTTCTGTCAGATTTATGTACATCCGCGACACCACCCCCACCCTAAACCCTAAAATCCTATGCGCCCTGTGATCGACTGCAGCACTCAGGTGCCTTAGGGCACCATTACCAATACTGTTCTGGGGGGTTCCTTATCATAAATATAGTATAGTATACCCCAAAACCCTAGTCTAACTATTAAGGCCCCTACATTAGTCTGGTTTCAGTCGCAACCGCCTTTAAGGCGTGTCAGGAGCTTCAAGCTGGGTGCTTACCATTTAGGCATCCGGGGTTGGGGGGTTGAGGGGGTTGACGGCTTAGGGTGTATATGGAGGGTTTGGGGTTTGAAGGGTTTCGGGTTTAGAGAGGTTGGCATGGATTTCTACCTCGTCCATGGTCAGTCCTTGCAAGAAACGTGGCCGCGCAAAGAAATCTACCGAAGCTCGCTTTGGGCTGCATGCATGATGGCACCCCTGAACCCAAAACCAGTCAAGACCCACTTGACCCCGGGTTTCAGCACATCCCTAAGCCCCAACATCGATCTATGCCAGCCTAGGCCCCTTGAACACGGACTCTGCACTTATAAGTGCCTAGATTCAAAGCTGCGAAGGTTCTCAGGGGCCTATAAACCCCCAAAGCTTTCAATCCCTGAAACTTTAGAGTTCAACCCTACGGCCCTAACTAAATCCAAACCCTCAAAACCCTACAACCCGAAACCTAAACCCCAGACCCTAAAACTCTTGTCGTGATTATTAGGACAACTTGTCGGGATGCTAACCCTACAGACCCTCTCAAGCCTATAAGCCCTACACGCCCGTAAACCCTGAAACCCCCAAGACAAACCGTATATACACCGAAACGGTGCCTGCAGCTCGACTTCCCCGGAGCCCTCTGCATTTTGCACGTCTTCAGCCTGGCCATCCGTCAAAGAGTCCCGGTGTAAGGGTTTAAGGGTTTGGGGTTTAAGCATTTAGGGTTGAAGGGTTAAGGGGCTTGGGGTTTAGGGTTTAAGAGTTGAGTGTTTATGATCTCAGCTCCTTTAAACGTAGCTCAAGGAAGGGTCATCTGAGGGGTTTAAGTCAGGTCCTGGGGTTTAGGGGCACTCAGTTTACAAGTAGAACTGAAGTTAAAACGCTTGAGGGTTTAGGGTTTGGGGAACTCTCGACAGGTTTCGGGGAATAGTATAGCATAATTCTATCGGAATACAGGGTGGGATACTCCCACCAGATTTCCTATCCTGATACCCTCAAACGCCATGGCGTGCCCCACTATTTCTTGCATCTCCAGTTCGATAAAGTATCGACAGATCCTGCAGCCCTGAAGCCCCAAGGCCTAAGACATATCAACCAACCCAAAGCCTTGCAGCAGAAACCCTCAATCTGAATAGAAACCGAAAGGTTGCAAGCCTGACCCTTGCTCCCTGAACCAGATGCATGACATTTTAGCAGCTGAGAGAAGTACAGGGCAACTGGAAGAGGGACACCCCAAAGACTCAGAAACAACAATCACAAGATTAGGATGTGCGAGGATATGCCGCAATCCCCTCTCGCAGTAAGCCCACAACGTACCCTCCGGCGGCTGACCGGAGTGAAGCGCAACTGGAAGTTGATGTCGATGCTGCGTCGCGGAAGCTCCTAAGGCTTCGAAGCGGAACCGGATAAGGGTTTTCAGGTTTAGGGATTACCCATAGGCTCCTTAGTAGTTCCTTCTTGGGATTACATTATAGGATTCTAGATATAAACCGCAAAACGGCACTATTTAGGAGCATATGGGCTAAGGCTCTGGGGGATTAGGGTTCAGGGCCTTGGCTTCGGGGACATTGCGTTTAGAACTTGAGTCGGTTAGCTTTGAGGGCCTTTGGGGTCAGGATAAAATAGCATTCACACGGATAAAATAAGTGTTCTCGGCGCTTCGGGCTCCTGGACAGACATGAACAAACAAATTATACAGTACATAAACATATGTGTATATATATATAGATATGTATGTACGTACGTACGTACGTACGTACGTACGTACGTACGTATGTATGTATGTATGTATGTATGTATCCACAACTGTGTGTATATATATATAGAGAGAGAGAGAGATTTTCTTCGTGTTTCAGTAGTCACAATTGCAATCTTCCTGGCCGTAAGCTCCAAGATGGTTCATGCTGTTCCTTTGCTTGCCTGGCTTGACCTGCAAAGAGTTCGACATCGGAGAGTTCAGCCACTAGCTGCCAAGCTAAAGGCCCCATTTCAATATACCCTAAACACCAAAATACGGCTAGATAATCGATTGTATGGCGATGTTTGCTGGCTGTGGCGCTCGCACTTCTTTCAATACCAGACAATTCAACCATCTTTCATATTAACATTGCATGGCAACAGTCTGGTGAGCTCTAGTGAAAAGCAAGTCCAAAACATATGATGAATCCAACACTGTAGTCCAATAGGCTATGGAGTGAGTACGCAGTGGTTTACGACCCCTGACCCAGTAATCCGCGGCATAGGCTGACCACCTCATATAAAAATACTCGATTGAACGCCTAGACGGCCTTTATAACAACACTCTGGGTTAAAGGAAACTACAGGTGGGGAGTTTAGGTATATAGGGCTTCTATAAGGCTTGTATAAGGTATGTAGACCTTCTATAAGGCTCCTATAACGGTAACTACCCACCTGAAAATGTCCCAGACTGGGAAACCCTAAACCCTAAACCGAGGTGTTCATGACATCTTCAGCACTGGCAGGCGTCCCGCCATCTCTTCCGCTGGGTGCTCTGGGCGAAAGCATGTGCCTCAGCTGACCCTGAGGCCCCACCTACGTATATCATGTTATAGTCTATACTTAACCTTAAAGTACCCCCATATTCATGGCTACCTATATTATATAGTCTATACTTAACCTTAAAGTACCCCTTTATGGGTGCATGGGTGCCTTAGGGTGAGTCTTTGGCCCAGAGGCCGGCAGGTCTGGATCCACAGATATGGCTCCAGGCCTAGAAGCTAGAAGCCTAAACCATACACCCTAAACACTGAACCCTAAACCCTCAACAATAAAAGCATAGACACCTAAAGCCAGACCAGCTAAACCCATAACCCCTGAATCCATCAACCCTAAACCCTTAACCCCTAAACCCTGCACCCCTAAACCAGTAAACTGTAAGCCCACTAACCCTAAACCCAACCCCCAAACCACTGGCAACCTGACCCAGCCAATAGCCCGATTCTTACAGAAGGACATGAACGATAACAAGGCACCCCAACCCGGATGCATTGGGTTTAGGGTTTTGGGTACCTGGGTTTTGGGTTTACGGGTTCATGGTTTTGGGCATAGGGTGCATTATCATAAACCTGTGCCATAGTGGTCACAGAAATCATAACAGAGCTTAACAGTCTGCGGAACGGCTTGGCGGTGCCGTGCGGCAGCCCAACCAATTTCCACGAAGCC